TAATGACATGGTAGGTGACAGTGATTGGTATGCTGGGGCAAGCCAGCGGACGTGTCATTAGTAGCGACGTAATGACATGGTAGGTGACAGTGAGTGGTATGCTGGGGCAGGCCAGCAGACATGTCATTAGTAGCGACGTAATGACATGGTAGGTGACCGTGAGTGGTATGCTGGGGCAGGCCAGCAGACATGTCATTAGTAGCGACGTAATGACATGGTAGTTGACAGTGAGTTGTAAGCTGGGGCAGGCCAGCGGACAGCCTTGACCGTCCTCCGCACCGGGGGGCGGCCGGGTGACTCATCCGGCGTGGCGTCAGCTCAAGGCCGCGACGGGCCCGTGGCCGGCGGTCGGACGGCCGTTGATCCGGGGTGTCGTCTTGCACCGGTCTGCAGCGGGCCGACTGGGTGTCAGGTCACTGCTGGCATAGGGCCATTCTGTGGAAGCACGAAAGCCGGCTGCTATGCTGCATTGATGATCTAGTGGTGACGTAGCATGACAGCCCAGGTAAATAGGCAGGCCAGTCAGGCATGGCCATGGGTGGAGAAAAGGGGGTTTGAGGGTGCACGAGCACCCCTTCATAACGCAAAGCACCCCCACAAACAATGCAAAACCAACATAGCAGCTTGTTAACCAAAGTATCAAACAGAAAAGCACCCCCTGGGATTTAGGCAAAACTCCACCCCTGGGTATGGCCGGCTTTGTCGGGCATGCCCTCGGGATGGCGTGCCAGTGTGCGGTTAGGGCATTGTTTAGTGCGAACCGATGACACTGGTGCATGTAACCGAGCAAGATTGTGAAGGTGGCGCTGGCATGGCATGACATGCCAGTGGGCAGGGCATAGGTCAGGGCCAAGCTACAAGCTGGTGTATGTGACCGCCCGGAGGGCCAACTGAGTGTCTGAGACGGGCGGCCACATTAGTATGGGGCGAAGGGTAGTAACAGAACAAAAGTGCCAACTGCCAGTATTCAAGCAACTTGGCAGACTAATTGGCTGACGAAAATTAGACCGCCGGTTAGAGGGGCACACCATGATTGCCTCGTGCGAAGGGCCCGCGCGTAACTAACAGGCCGGATAGCTGGTAACTCACCGGTGTTCCTTCTTGGTCGACCCATGGTGGCGGTAGCCGCCGCTAAAGCTATCACTCTACTCTCCGCGGGTTTCAACCGGTAAACAAAAAAAAAATTGCTGCGCGCACTCCGTCGCTCGGCGTCCTAACGGAAAAGGCCGCTTGGGCAGCGTTGCCTAGAGTCCAAACATAAGTCGTATGCGGACATACTTACGTGCAGTTGTGGTAGCCGTTGTGGTTCCAGTGCCTGCGCCCACGCTGTGAGTTGTTAAAATACATGCATGGTAGAAATCAACGCTGTTACAATATATCACCCACGATCTAAAGTCTATTTATCTGCGCCTGTCGTGTTTGCGCGACATCTGGTGGCACTATGCGACCTGTAGTTCTCCCCGGCGCACCTAGGTGGCACGGCCCGTTCCGTGTTGATGCACGACCTGGTGCTTGCGGAGGTGGGAGGTGACTAGGGCGCAACTTCCCGCTAATATAATTTGCACGGTTCCATCGTGAAATGACCATAATAAAATTCAAAATTTATATTTTTACATTTTTTCAATTTTTTTTTGACTTTTCGAAAAAACCGGAATATATGTGATAGAACGCATTATTATGACTAACTCTAGCAAGTTTAAGCTAAATATCTTCAAAAATGGCCAAGTTATACGCATTATTGCAAAAAATTAACAATTATTAATTTTTCAAATCAACTTTTCAGCACGAATTTGACATCGTACGCCAATATAAAAAGCACTATCGTGTTCCTGAGCTCAAACTGCATCATTAACAATTATTTTAATTTTTCAAATCAATTTTTCAGCACGAATTTGACATCGTACGCCAATATAAATAGCACCATCGTGTTCCTGAGCTCAAACTGCATCCAATAGACACCTTTGTTGTTGAAAAATTTTAACTTCAAAATTTGACCTTTTTGACCTGAACGTGACCTGACCTAAGCTGAATTTGACTCAAAATGACCTCGAATGACACAGACGACATCAAATTCGAAATGTTTGGCCTAAATGGACCATAAAACATGTGTCACGTGACCGACGGATGATATAATATTTTCGTGACCTGTGATGACCTAACCTTGACCTGAAAATCAAAGTACAAGTTTGGTACCCTCAGAGTATCTAGAGCATCTGTTCACGAGTGTGTGAACCAAAAATTAGCCTGATCTGACTTGTAAGACGGCGGCCAGAGCCCAAAACGTGAAGAAGCCAAAATGCTAATAATTTTTACTTTGACCTGACCTGTGACGTCATCGGTGACCTCGAGGTCAATGAAATTAGGTTTCGTTCGACAGTTTTTCCGGGGCTATCAGACGCCGTTTGAATTTTGACGATCGGCCCAGTAGTTTCGGAGTTAGGAGGGGGGGCTATGAATAGCCCCCCCCCCCCCCAGTAGGGCGTGTTATACGCAGACCCCAGTGGGGCGCGGGATATATATTCCGTTTTTTTTTAATCAAAAACTTTTTTGAAAAAAGATAAAAAAACAAATTTTGAAATTTAATATTCAAAATTTTTCAATTTTTTTTCTCAAAATTTTCAAAATTTTGAAAGTCTGAGGTAGCAGTTTGATAGCGCAGTCTATTCTGAGACTGAGTCCTCTCATGCAAAGAAATTGGATCTAACTAAAAAACTGAGCTCTTGGGAGCGATTCCCGTGGTTCAATGTTCTGCGTCGAGATCGGCCGAACATGGCGTCACTCTGACGTCGTTTCCGGCCGACCTATGATAGATACGATGTTCAAATTTTGACACAAGGTGTTAAATTGATGCAGCCGGAGTTAATGAAAGTTTGGCGGCGATACGTCAAGCGGCTTAGAAGTTATTGCAGAAAAACGTGAGGGGGCTATGAATAGCCCCCCCCCCCCCCAGTGGGGCGCGGGTTAAAGGGACTATCCCACCTTTACATTAGGTTTGAGTTGAGATAGCCAAATTTGCGGCGAGGTTCAGAAACCGCTATCTATCTTGGTCGCAACCCCCGCAGCCTCGTGGTGTTGAAGAAATTCGTTCCCATCATTTGAAAATGTTCCTTGTGCAAGTCCCAATCTCTTAACCATTAACGGCAATCTGACGACGTCATTTGCCTTTTGAACGCCTGTTACGCATTCAAGTGAAGTATCACTTGATTTACGAATAAACCAATCAGATACATTTTTTTATTGTATGAGCCGCGCCATATTTGAGAGTAAATACCTATATTTGCTGCCAAATTTCCCCCACATTGGCATGAAGTAAATCCTTCATTACGTCACAGATCCGATCTATAATAAATGACGTCACGATGAAATATAAAAGTCGCAATATCTCAAAAAGTATACGATGAAAACGCGTAAAAACTTGCAGAATTCGTCACAATATCATGAGTAACATTTCCGAATCCTAATTGGTACTTTTTTGAAGGTGGGATAGTCCTTTTAAACAGAGTTCAAAAATTTACGCTAGAATGAGGTGGATGTAGCATAAATAATGCCAACTACGCGGCGCTTCGTGGCGTAGATTTTGCTACACACGTAAAAACTTAGCCGATCCCCCCCCCCCCCCCCGGATGACAGATAAATGTTATGTCCCGCGAGTGTGACTTTGCTCATCCCCCCTTCCCCTTTTGCTAGCGGCTGCGACCGCCAGTGGATAAAAGTGGCCTAGGTGCAGACCTATTAGACTTAGCGCAAATAATTCGTCTGCTGGTTGTATCAATTTCGACATACGGCATGTGTTTACGGCAATGCTCAAATAAATCAGACACGGTATAAGCCGAATATCAATGCGCATGACGAAGCAATGCACTCTGACGAAACTGGAGTCACAACTACTGAAAATGAATGCACTACCTTTTAACCCTCGCCGGCACAGGCCATTTTGAGTCCTTCGACGGCACAAAGGGGAGGGGGGTGGTACGACCCCCCTCGCGTTTGGTCCCTGATGGAGCTAGAGCTTCGCGGAAAAAAACGAACGTGTTGCCCGTCACGAGAGGAAGCCAATGATACCCAATTTTAAGGTCCTAGGTCATCGGTTGACCTTCCAGGTCAGGTCAATGACCCAAAAATCAGGAATATCGGGACCTGTTAGAAAGTCGTAAAGGGTGGCTGCTAAGGGGTTTTCCGGATCACGAATATCGTGTTAGTTTTGATCACAGATGATGTCGTTAAGCGTTTAGACCAGGTCGGGTCAGGTCAGGTCAGGTCAACCGGTAGGGGTCGTGATGGGTATTCGTAGTACCTGTCATCCGCCTCTGACAGCTTCGTAACATGTTACGAAGGCACCAAAACTACTTCGTAAATGTTCAAATGGTTGCTAAATTCGAATTCAGCTCCAAAAACTAGCCTAGAAACATGTAAAACTCGAAAAAGTGAACCGAGGTCACTAAAGGTCAATGACCTGACCTGACCTTTAGGTGACCTTGACACCCACCCTAATGCATGGGAGCAGCATCAAATCACATGTTTGAACGTTTAAAACCACGAAAAGCTTGCAAACGCGCGGCTAATGCGAGCCGACATACGCCGAATCGCGATTTCGGCCAAACATGGTCACGGAAAAGAGGCCACAGGTCAAAGGTCATTGGGGTCAGGGTCATGAAATTGTCAGGGTAAGTGTAAAATTGATCAATGCGAGGGTACTGCAAGTTGCGTCGCGATCAGCCGTTTTTTACGCGAGTTATTTGCGAAAAACCTTAGGGGGTTGGGGGGGGGGTTAACCCTCGCCCTGTGCCGGCGAGGGTTAAATTGCTTGCTCTGTTTCGGAGCCGTGTGCACTATTACTGAATTCCATGCTCTCGGCCGAACTAGCGGTGCTCTACATATGCCGAACTGTCGGAACGGTTGCACTTTTACTGAACTGTCTGCACTATTTCTATATTTGGCCGTAGGAAAGGTGTATGTAGTTGTGCTGTGCCGGCTGTCGGTCTGACGGTGGCTGTCCGCAGGGCGCCGCCGTCCTCTACATGCTGATGAAGGAGCTGGGACAGCCCGTGTTCAAGGCCGGCCTCAACAAGTACCTGCGGCGCCACAGCCTGGGCAGCGCGCGCACCGCGGACCTGTGGGCGGCCGTGCAGGAGGCGGCCGCCGAGGCGGAGACGCCGCCGGCCGGCGACGGTCCGCCAGACGTCCAGGTGGGACGCCGCGCCAGCCCAGCCCACAGCACTGTATCGTGATGCATAGATAGATAGATAGATAGTTTATTGACACTGCACTCTTGATAAAATACACACAATACATAAAATACAAAATTCTATACAGAATGCAATACACTAAAAATATACATAAAAAGGATAAAACTCGAGTGAAAACGTGTCCATTAAAATAACAAAATACAATATGAGCACCGCGGACATGGCGAAACACAATCTAAATACATATTATGAATCATACTTTTCAAGAATGTTCTTACATAGCCTTGCGAGATCTAAAGGGTGTGCATCCATAAGGACAGTTAGACCGGAAAAATTTAATCTGGGGAAATGTTCTCGAAGTGAATTTGATTCTGGGCAGTCTAAAAGTACATGTTTCTCTGTTTGCACTGACCCGCACGTGCACAGCCTTTCTGTCTCTGATATGCGCGACCACCTCCCCGTTTCTATTTTTAACCTGTGTGAACCTAAACGGATTCTTGTAAAAGCGATGCGCTCGTTTTCAGGTACATTTGCCTCATACATACGGTGTCGCGCGACATTCTGATTAAACTCACGGTATGTTGTCATTCGCGTCGATGTTGATTCTAAAATTTTACAGCGTAAGGTTTCCATGCTTCTTTCTCTAAGTGACCCGATTGCTTCCGTTTGTAGGGAGTTGACATAACGGCCAGCTTGTGAGCCCGACTGCACTGATAGATGCATGGCTAACTGGGCGGGACTGCCCTCGAAATCATCTCGTGATGTCAGCTTTCCTAGAAATTTAATTTGGTTCTCTTTAATCACTGTCTTTAAGTCTGGGTATCCCAACTCTGCGTGAACAAGGTCACTGCTTGTCTGATTCCTGACTGACAATAGCTGTTTTTCCGCGGACAATACCGCCGTCGAGGCATGCTTAAAATCGTTGCAAAGCCAACTTTCACAGCCATACAGTATTGCACTACAGAGAGCACTTTTGAATACCATCTCCTTGACAGGAAATGGCGCGTCTTTGTTTTTCTTTAAAAACGCGGAAAATTTCACTAAATGACTGCGCTTAAAATCTATGTGGGCTTTGACTTGATTACGCAAAGTTGCATTGCTGATTGGTGTTCCAAGATAAATGTACTCATCTGTGTGACTGATGGATACGTTATCGAAAACAAAAGGAACAGTGTCCCCTGCGTTAATCGCCATAAACTTTGACTTCTGCGGGTGTATTTCCATTCTAATGGTGCCAACTTCGCGGTGCAATAGTGCAATAGTGCATACATAGTATGTCTAAAAAGAATGTCCCCTCGCCACCACGCGGCGCTGGTGTCGCGAGTCGATAGTTGGCTGAATCCGGACCAAGCCACGCATTCCCAAGCGCTGGGCGACAGCCACGCAGTGACTTATCGGGGTTACATGAGCACAGTAAATACGTATTTAGCCGCTAATTCGAATTAGGAACGCATTACCGACTCATGTAGCCACCTGCTAGTACAGTCGTGTACAGGTTGATGGTCCCCTACTCTTTATCCACCGGGTTCCTATGGCTCAGCATTGGCAGCAGCCGCCTGGTACCGGTAGGCTGTGCCGCATGACCGGAGAGTGAAGCGGCACAGTCTACCCACGCCGTTTGACATCGGCTCGGGTCGCCGGGTGGAGCGCTTTGTAGACCAGCTGTCACGTCAGACCAGCGCGGGGGGAGGGGCTCGTCTCGGTGGTTGGCGTGGGCCGGGGAGTGGTGTGGGGCGTGTTGGTGGACCATGGGGGCTGGGCGGGTTGTGTGGTCACTTGCTGCATTGCACATTTTGCGTCGCTTAACAATTGCATTCCTGTTTTTGCTAAGCACAATGCACGGAAGACCCAGCGAATATAATTTACTTGTGCATTGTGCAAAACGTGATTTGGCACGGTATCGAGGCAACCATAGGTCTTGTGCCACATATATGCATGATATTTAGGCAATACGCTTATGAAAATGGTAGATTGATCGGATTGATCCTGGATGTCAATTCGTATGCTAAATGTCGACATGTAATAAATGAACGAAAGAATGAATCAATCAATCAATCGACAATCGACATGTAGATATAAAACCGTATAAATGGCTCGCAACCACTAAAATCAAACCAGATCCTAACTCGGAAAAGTAGCCGGAGCCCCGATGAGGCTCGAACCGGGACTCCACGTTGAAAGTTTTGCCAATGATCCATCATCATTCCACCAAGCTAGAGCGACCGGCACCCGAAACCACAAAAACATTGATTGACTTTGCTGCCGACCTCCCGGCCCCGCCGCCCGCCCGGCCAGACTTTGCCCCGACCGTGGCCACCATCCGGTGTAGCTCAGCGTAGGAGTGCTAGACTGTCAAACTGACCGGTAGTGAGAGGCCCGGTTCGAGACGCTTCGCGTGCTGGATGTTTATTTCTGTGTCCGAGGCTATGCGATTAGTCCACTTTTCAGAAAGATTATTTGGTGACAGGTCTGTTTTCTTTCTTTGCTGCAATTCATGAGGAGACCGTATGGACCCTTACCTGTCCTTCCGCACCCCACTTGGGAGATGGGTGTTTGAGCCACCCTGGGTTTTGTGAATATCTCTAAAGCGAATTTTATTTTTGGAGGGTGGATTACGATCGGTTCTATGCGACAAGTGACCACACACACCCAGCCCCAGGTCCGCTCACTCCCTCCCCACATCACCCCCGCCCCACACTACACTCCAGCCCGCCTCATCCACCGAGCCGAGCTAAATAGACAGGCCTGACCTTTACCCCCCCCCCCTCCCCCCAGCCGGTGTAACGCAGCGTCCGGTCAAATCGCTCTACCAGGCGACCCGAGCCGGTGTCATACAGTGTGGGTAGGCTGTGCCGCTTCACTCTCGGGTCATGCGGCACAGCCTACCGGTACCAGGCGGCTGCTGCCAATGCTGAGCCATAGGAACCCGGTGGATAAAGAGTAGGGGACCATCAACCTGTACACGACTGTACGAATCGGCGATCCGATCCGCGGTTACATAAGCAAAGCAAATACGTATCACGATCGGATTCACCGCTAATGCGAATCAGGAGCGTACTACCGACTCATGTATCCACCTGCTAATACGAATCGGCGGTCCGAACAAAATCCGCAGGGAAAGAGGCTTAGAAGCGAATAGGACCAAGATACGTATTACAGGAACTATTTCTTTCCAAAAAGAAACATTAAAATGCAAAATAATAGGTATTTTTTCATTTGCTTCTTTTGAAATAATAATTAAAAAAATATGTCGGTATTTTGTCAAGTTTTCAAAAATAAATATACTGAAAACCAAAAAGAAAATATCAAAGTACTTTCAGTTGAAACATTTTTCTGACAGCACTACAGACGAATCAAGAGAGGCAAGTGCTCAATGATTCAAAGCAAGACAACTTTATGTTTAACTTTTTTTTGTTAAGTTAATTGAGAATGTTTAGAGCAGATTAAATGCAAAAAAGACATAAGATATTAAGTTTTTAATTCAGTCACCTCTATTGCTACGGAAGTGCGCCACATTTGTATGCTATTCCGTTTGTAATGCGCATCGGGCCGAGAGCCAAACTAGATCCGTTTGACGTCACTGATACGAATTTGCTCATGTAGTCGGTGCACTGAATGCGTTCTTGGGGAGCTGATGCGAATTAGCGTAGTGCGTATTTGGAACGGATCGCTCATGTAACCGAGGCACACGATTCGGGCCGTATTTCACAAGAACTATTCTTTGCTGACTGGAAGCGTCAAAATGCGAAATACTAAGCGTTTTTTTATTGGCTGCCTCGTAGAAAATAGCAAACAAAAAATGTTGGTATTTTGGTTTAGTCTTTGCATGTGAAATAAAATGAATGAAATATTTTGATAGATAATTTTTTCTGACCACCCTGCTGTCGCTGCATGGCGAATCAGTGCCCACTGACTTAAAACAAGAAAACTTTGTTTTCATTTTTTGATTTCATGCTAATTTTAAATGTTTTCGAGCCTATCAAATGATAAAAGTATTTAAAATTTAGTTCAGTCGTCCCGGTAAATGCCGCAACTGCGCCATGACTGTACGCTAATCCTATTCCGTTTGTGATGCGAATTACCGGCCGTCGGGGAGTCAGCCCGGGTAAGCCAAACAAGATCCGTTTGACGTAGATAAAACGAATTAGTCTCATGTAACCGGTGCCGTAGATACGTTTGTGGGGAGCTGATGCGCATTAGCGTAGTGCGTATTTGGAACGGATCGCTCATGTAACCCCGGTAACTGTAGCGTAAGCCCGAACCCTCGTGACACGACCTCGGGAAGGGGGGAGGGGTGCGCCGCGCGGCGCGCGGTATAGGCTGGCGGCTGTCTCGGCCCAAGGGTAGGGGCCACACACCGATTCAACGAGTGCTGATGAGGGTTCGAATCGAAGGGACAGTGAAGTTTTGCCACGTTTGCCACGTTTGCTACGGGTGCGATGTTTAGCGACGTGTGTGAGCCAAAAGGGAGCGTTGAAGAAAAACATCTGGTTAACCACAACGTGGTCCTAAAAATGTGAATAAATATCTTGTAACTCGGCTCCTGGGCCACGTAGCGATACACGGAAGGCGGCGTTCGAAAGAGCGTCAAAAATAATGACGAAATCACTTCGGTCAATTTTTTGGTCAGGTCAAAGGTCAGGTCACCAGAGGTCATTGAAGGCAAAATTTCGCCGATTTCCAGGTCGAATGTCGAAAATTTCCAAGAAGTCAACGCATAACTCGGGTACCAATAGAGCTACAGCGCCGCGGAAAAGCGCATTCGATAGCCCTATTAACGTCCTTTCTGAGTGATTCTCTCAGATTTGACCTAACGCCAACGGTTTTGCCTGCAGGGGGCAAAAACTGCAAAAATAGCCGATTTTTTTTCGGAAACAGTTTTTCTGCAATAACTTTTGACCCAAGCCCTGTACGAGCTTACTTTTACCGGCATCGTGTTCCTCTCGTCAAGACGCATCGAATGAACTATAACTTGACCTTGAAAGGTCAACTTGAAAATTTGACCTCAGGTCAAGGTCATGACCTGACCGGAAAGGGTCATGTTGCATATCAGTCGATCCGTATCGTCGAGCTGAACACATCTAAGGCGTTTTTATCGCTCTAGCATGCCTCTATCAAAAGTTATTTGCGAAAAACTGTTAGATACCATTCGTGACCTAAGATGACCTCAGGGCATAAACAAGGGTCACGGACACCATTTTCATGTTCAGTGTGTCTAAACCACTTGTAATTCGGTGTTTGGGAGTGTTTATAATGTCTTTCGTCCAAAAGAGGCGCATTTCAATTTTCTCCCATTGACTTATAATGGGGAAGTCGCAAAATTGATCTGACCTTAGGTCATCGATATCAAAATTCTGAGATATACATTTTGTACATGCTATTGCTCTTAGCAATCGCTGAAAGTTTCAAAGCGATCGGAGGTGAGGTCACTTCAAGTGACCTGGTGACCTGACCTTGAATGACCTTGGTCTGAAGTTTTCACAACATGTGTAGAATTGATGTATGATAAGGTGTACCAAAAACGGCGGCGCTCCGCGCCGCCGTTTTTGAGATATTCGCGAAAAACCACAAGGGGGGATGTTCAAACACCCCCCCCCCCCAGCAGGGCGCGGGTTAAACGATCAGAAAGAAAAAACAAAATTGAAATAAAAAAGGAAATTTTACATTATTTTCATAAAGTGAAAACTTTAGATAGTTCATCTTTGGTAGACGCCTAATAAACAATAGTGTTCGTCAATGAAACTTACAACGCGTTAACCAGGTCAGGGTCAGGTCATATGGCCCAATGCAAGAAATCGTTTTTTTGACAAATAACCGCAAAAATGGCCGCAGAGCCGCGGTTTTGGCATAATTGTGTTCGCCTCGCTCAGAGGTGTCGAATGGTAGGCATACGTTTTGTTCGGTTGAGGTCAACTGAGGTTGACCTCAGATCAAGGTCAGGTCAGAGCCCCAGGTCACGGAGCTGGTTAAAGGAGGTGATATCTCATATCATTTGATTCGACAGGTCTTCCACTGCCTTGTTGAATGGTGGTTTTCCCGACTCGCTAGCCCAATTTGATTGGAAGCTAAACAAATGACTCCCCCCCACTGACCAGACCGCTGACCCCCCCCCCCCCCCCGCTGACCCCCGCTGACGCTGACCTTCCCCCCCCCCCCCCCGCTGACGGGGCTGGCAGGCGATGATGGACTCGTGGACGCGCCAGAAGAGCTACCCACTGATCAGTGTCGTGCTGTCGGCCGGCCGGCTGACGGTGCGCCAGGCGCCGTTCACGCAGCTGCCAGCGGTCGGCGCGCGCCAGTCGGACGCGCCGCTGTGGCACGTGCCGCTGAGCTGCCGGCTGCACCGGCGCGCCGGCCTACTGGCCGTGCGCCTCAACGGCACGGCCTCGGTGACGGTGTCGGCGCCGCGCCAGTCGGCCTGGTACTACTGCAACGTCAACAAGACGGGCGTCTACCGCGTCACCTACCCGGCCGACAACTGGGCGGCACTGCAGCAGCTGCTGCTGGCCGGCTCCAGTCACCTCAGCGTCCAGGACAGAGCGGCCATCATCGACGACGCCTTCAGTCTCAACAGGTGCGTGTAGCTATGGAGTGGGGCGGCCTGTTGCGGTCAGCGGCTACCAGCACTGCGCGCCCGTCACTGACACCGCCCGCTGCCGGCAGGGCCGACCTTCTGAACGCCAGCGTGCCGCTGCGGCTGAGCACCAGTTTGTCGCGCGAGGCGGGTCTGGCGCCGTGGGCGGTCAGCCGGCGCCACCTGGACTGGTGGCTGCAGCTGCTGTACGATCAGCCCACCCACGCGCCGCTCCAGCACTTTGTCCGCCGCCTGATTGCGCCCCAGTACGGGCAGCTCGGCTGGAGCGAGCAGGGCTCCCACGTGGTCCGGTCAGTGGTCACCGCCGTCCGCCCCACACCGGCTGCCCAGACGGCAGACAGCCCGCCCGCCCGCCCAAACACTGCCGCCCGCCCAAACACTGCCGCCGACCGGGTGCCGAAACGCCGCGTGTGCGGGGGGGGGGGGTGAAGTTGAGACACTATGCGTGTGGGTGGGGGTGGGGGTGACTTGAGGCACTGGAGGGGCGGAGGGGTGCTGGATGCCGGAGGGGCGAGGGTACTCCAGACGTGATGCCGGCCGGTTGTCGCTTCCTCAGACGCCTGCGGGCGCTGGTGCTGGCCTGGGCCGTCTCTGTGCGCCTGCCAGAGGCGGTGGCCCGCGCGCGAACCCTGTTCAGTGATTGGAGGAACGCCGGCCTACCGGTGCCACCTGATCTCAGGCAGCTCGTGTACTCCACAGGTGAGACTTGAGAGAGAGAGAGAGAGAGAGAGAGAGAGAGAGAGAGAGAGAGAGAGAGAGGAGAGAGAGAGAGAGAGAGAGAGAGAGAGAGAGAGAGAGAGAGAGAGAGAGAAAGAGTCCGTCTGTCCCGTCCCGTCCCGTCTGTCTGTCTGTCTGTCTGTCTGTCTGTCTGTCTGTCAGACATCCAAATATCTGTAGCCCATACTGAATTTGGTACCCATATTTGTTCCGAAACCATATATAGCTGTTTTTAGCACCTAACCGATACTTCGTTTTTTATAAGTTCGACCCTCACTGTAAACTAGAGTTCTGCGCGGCTGCAATTTTCCACAGCTTAGCCGCCCCGCATCCGTGGGGCTGTGCACAATCGTGGCTCTGTGGCCATTTTTTGCGAAGTTATTTACCGAAAACCGAACCCGTACCTTGGGCCACTTGACCTGACCTCAGAGGTCACCGGTTGATCTGAGACCTTGAAATCGGGTACCAACCGCTGCGTCTCGTATCGGCGCACACGCTCGTTTTTTTCTGCGACGCGCTAGCTCCATCAGGGGTGAAACGGCGAGGGGTTTGTACCCGCCCCCCCCCCCATCGGCCGGCGCGTATGTAGAAAACCAATAGGTCCGACGGGGGATAAAGCACCATTGGTGTCGTTGATAGGCAAACAGGACTTTCTCAGCTAAAGGCTTATTGACAAACTAGTACTTACGTCGAAGTGTTCATAAGGATGAGGTCGTTCCACGCAGCTTGCGCGGTAGAGCTGCTCGAAAGGCACTATATCTCATGGACGTCATGGACGGAGCGAGGGGTCAGTCAGGCATCGCCTGGTGCCGAGCGGTTGCCCTTCCTTCCCCTCCCTTCCCCTCTCCGACCCTCCCTACCTCGGTGGCGGTTTCCGCCAAGATACCGATTCGCCTATACCGTGGGACACCAAACCAGGGGACATACTTTTTAGACATACTGTACGTTCATGTGTTAAGTAACCTTCAATGGTGTTTTTTGGTGAGCTTAAGTAGACAAGTCTTAACTTAATTGTCGACTACTTCAGTGACTGATGAAGCACATGTTAAGCACATATTCATCAGAATAACTAGTTTGGTAACCAGCTAAAGGGTCCTTATGTTACACAAGGAACATTTAAATATTGGCACTTGCTGCTAAAAGTACCTACCATGAACCCAATGCACATTTATGACCACGACCGATTCACCGGTGTTGCTTATTTATGTCTAACCTTCGATGCACTTCAGGTAAATGGCGGTAAGTCTTCTCGGGTGCATCACACCACGATTATCAGCAGGCACAGCAGCTATTTGGCATATACGTTGAGGTTTACCAGGCGGGCATCATCGGGATTCTGAGACAATGGGTCACGCAATCGGCAGTACCGTTAACAATATATAATATTTTCATGAAAAAAAATGTTATATTTTAAACCGCGAGTAGGTGAGAAGACCCAGGCCATTGTCCTATAGGTCCAATAGGTCCGACGGGGGATAAAGCACCATTGGTGTCGTTGATAGGCAAACAGGACTTTCTCAGCTAAAGGCTTATTGACAAACTAGTACTTACGTCGAAGTGTTCATAAGGATGAGGTCGTTCCACGCAGCTTGCGCGGTAGAGCTGCTCGAAAGGCACTATAACTCATGGACGTCATGGACGGAGCGAGGGGTCAGTCAGGCATCGCCTGGTGCCGAGCGGTTGCCCTTCCTTCCCCTCCCTTCCCCTCTCCGACCCTCCCTACCTCGGTGGCGGTTTCCGCCAAGATACCGATTCGCCTATACCGTGGGACACCAAACCAGGGGACATACTTTTTAGACATACTGTACGTTCATGTGTTAAGTAACCTTCAATGGTGTTTTTTGGTGAGCTTAAGTAGACAAGTCTTAACTTAATTGTCGACTACTTCAGTGACTGATGAAGCACATGTTAAGCACATATTCATCAGAATAGCTAGTTTGGTAACCAGCTAAAGGGTCCTTATGTTACACAAGGAACATTTAAATATTGGCACTTGCTGCTAAAAGTACCTACCATGAACCCAATGCACATTTATGACCACGACCGATTCACCGGTGTTGCTTATTTATGTCTAACCTTCGATGCACTTCAGGTAAATGGCGGTAAGTCTTCTCGGGTGCATCACACCACGATTATCAGCAGGCACAGCAGCTATTTGGCATATACGTTGAGGTTTACCAGGCGGGCATCATCGGGATTCTGAGACAATGGGTCACGCAATCGGCAGTACCGTTAACAATATATAATATTTTCATGAAAAAAATGTTATATTTTAAACCGCGAGTAGGTGAGAAGACCCAGGCCATTGTCCTCTCGCAATAGGCACAGGTTGCCAAAGATGTGACGGTGAAGGTGGCAGGCGCCCCGGTGAAAGCGGGTCCCAAACTCCGCCTCCTGGGAGTGACGTTTGACCGCCTTCGGCACACACTGTGCGGAACTCCGCCGCAAAGTCAGGCCCAGGGTAGCCCAGCTCAGGAAGCTGACAGGACGCTCGTGGGGTCTGGAGGAGCGGCAACTAAGGACTGTTGCAAATGGTTACGTCAGGGGGCGTTGGAATACGCTGCAGCCGCTTCCCCCCCCCCTGCCCCCAACACACGTAGAGCTCATAGCAAGAGAGCTGCGTGCCGCGGCCCGTGCGGTGACAGGCTGCGCAGCGTCCACGCCCGTCCACGCCCTGGTGTCGGAGGCCGGGATGGCGGACGCGCGGTCCCGCCGCGCGCTTGACCCTAGCGGCAAGAATGGTGGGCCTCGCCGCGTCCCTGCCGGAGGGCGACCCGCTGAGGACAGTGGGCGAAATGGTCGTCCCGCGTCGACTCCGTACCACCGAGGGATGGAGAGAGGTGGGGCTCGCTGCGCTGTCGGCCGCCGGGGCTAAAACGTTCCAGTGGAGGCCCGCCTCCATCACTCCCTGCCGCCGTGGACCGACAGTTCTGCCGTCCAATTCCATCTGGACCTCGGTCCGCGGACCAGCCGCGCGGCATCTGCAGAGACCCGCCGTGCCGCGGCGGAGGAGCGCATCCGAGAGCTCCCGCCCGGGGCCGTCTGGGTCTGGTCGGACGGCTCGGCGGAGGGTAGCGTGGAGAACGGCGGTGGCGGCGCGCTGCTCCGCCCACCCAACGGAGACGACCTGTGGGTGCGGGTGCCGGCGGGCCGCTTCTGTTCCAGCACCCGCGCGGAGCTCACCGCGCTGCTGGCAGCTCTGGAGGCGGCCGCCGAGCTGCCGGGCTGCAGAGGAGTGCCTGTAGTCGCCTGCCTGGACTCGAAGGCGGCTCTGCTGCTCCTGGCTGGAGGCGCTGCGGCCCAGGCCTCGACACTGGGCGCCAGGCTGTGGGCCCAGCTCCGGCGCCTGACGGCCGACGACAGCACGGTTACGCTGCAATGGGTCGGCCCACCTGTGGACTCGACGGTAATGAAAGAGCGGACGCCCTGGCCAAGGAGGCGGTCGCTCTTCCCCAGCAGTCAACGCCGGTTGACGTCCGCACCCTCACGCGGGTTGTCGCGCGGTACTCCAAGAGGAAGTGGCAGGCGGACTGGCCAGCCGGTTGGTACCGCACCGTCATGGGGGATCGCACCCCCGCCCCGGTCCGGACCGCCACCAGGGAGGAGGCCGTCGACATCCACCAGCTCCGGTCTGGCCACTGGGCCCGATCGGAGCAGTACCTCCACCGGATTGGTCGAAGACCTACACCTGAGTGCCCCCATTGTGACGACAAGGAATGCCCAGCGGGACGCTGCATAGTCTGCTCTGAAGCAGCGGACACCCCGGCGCACGTGCTGCTGGAGTGCCCGTGCCTATACGGGCCCCGGCTCCGTGCGCTGGGCAACATCGTCGGTGTGGCCCACGATATCTGGCGCGACGACGTGGTGGCGGCCTTGGCCGCCGGATACATGGCCCACAAGAGCTGGTCGGCTACGGCTACCGCTCCGGCGGTAGCCGGGGGGTCAAACAACAACAACAAAGGTCACGGAGGCAGGTCGATGGCCGGCAGTTGGCACATTCTCGTTGTCCAGTCAATCCTTTCTACATTTGTTGTGCAATGCATTCTTGTGGAAGGGAATCGAGTGAAATGGCCCCCTGCCAATTTCTTTCGGTAAATTTCTGGTAATTCCCGGTAATTCCTTGAACTTTGCAGGGTGCACGTAAGTGCCCCACCCCTTGCACGAAAGTGTCCCATACCTGGGGCAGTGTTGTGCAAACGTTCAGAGTTATTAAAAGTATTTTTTCTAATAGACGATAATTTTAGAGGAAAACTTTTGAACAGGACACATATCTGCAATAGTTCCTTTCCATGCTACCATCAACAATTTTACCCTTGCACCAACCAAAGAACAGATATATGGATTTATCCATTTTTTGCACGAATGTGCCCCACTCCCTCCCCCCCCCCCTATATAGCATAACCTACTAGTACGGACAAACTTGTTTGACGGATGGTGTACAAATAAATGGTTTAAAAAAATCTACAGTCAATGAGGATTCCAATGAAATACATACTAATGTAGGTTACTGGCCATATTTTTATATAATAGGAGTTAACCCTATTAGTGGCAGGGGGGGTTGTTTTCATCCACCCCTCAGGTTTTTCGGGAATATCTCCGAAACCGCTGAAGCTACGATGCTGAAATTTTCTGACTTTACCTAAAACTAAATTGGGCACATTCCCTGAAAATTTCAAGTTCATACCTTTACCAGGGGCGGCTCCAGAGCACTGGGAAGTGGGGGGTCCTATTCGTGAAGCGAGTCATTTGGGCGAAGATCACGATGCTGATGTATTATAACTGCATACACCAGTTTTACGAACAGTGAATGAAAGGTATCATGTGATAACATATACAAAGTTATTGTGCATCCTCTTGACACGTTTTTGCTATAATAGGCGGATCCAGGCGTCCAAAAAGGGGGTTATGTTTTACCTCCCAACATAGGTGCCCTGACACCGCCTATGCATGACCAATACAATTGTAGTCGTTCTCTCATAAGAAAATTGTAACATAACAAGACCATTGCCACCTTTTTTAGAAACAGTACCAATAAAAACCTTATTTACTATACTTTTTGTGTACCCCCAATCTCAATGATCTGTATCCGCCTATGATTTTTGAAAATGCACATTTTTAGGATCCATGTGAATTCCTGGTTCATTCTCTATCGATAGGCAAAAGTTGCGTTAAGATTGGTTCAGAAACCTGGCCGTGATAACAGTCTAAAATGTATCTGCAATTTGCTCGTTTTTACCCCCTCCACCCCCCTATTAACATTTTTTAATTTTTATTTTTTTTCAAGAAATGTAGATCACGTTGAGCGAAATCGAATGCCGTTTGAATTTTGAAAATCGGCCCGTTTGATCTCGAGATATCAAGGGGGGGTCGTAAACAGCCCCCCCCCCTGCCACTAATAGGGGTAGCCAGGAGCCTGCCACTAATAGGGTTAAAAAGAGGGTTACTCTGGGCATTTTCAAAAATGTCTCTGGCTACAACTCGTAAACCGTTTGTAGTAAAGCGCTGAAAGTAGGAGAATAAGAATCTACGGCACAGATAACCCCCTAGACGCAAAATTCAAACTTCATTTCATCAAAGTTTGAGAGGTAGGGTGTTGGCTTGGTCGATTTGTCATGGAACTGTGGAAAGACTATGCGTGATCGGACGCTCTATGTAGATGCGGCCGAGATGTGGACTGTGTGCGTGCGTGCTTGTGTTTGTCTCGCTCTGCCCTTTCAATGACATGCCAATCCTATAGTGGCCGTCGAGGGGTAGAGTATGACGACACTGCACTGACGTGACTGGCGTGGCCGTCCAGGGGTCGAGTATGGCGACACCGGTGACTGGCAGTTCGTCTGGCAGCGCTATCTGAACGCAACAACGCCCACCGAGAAGAACTCTCTACTGCGGGCGCTGGGCGCCTCCACGGACCCGCTCATTCTGGAGCAGTGAGTCATTTTTGCAGGATCGATATGTTGGGGCATTCCACGATAGATCGTACCAGGCCCGTCACCCTCATCTCTCAGATTTAAATGAAAATTGGTACAAGGGGTAATCATAGGCTCCAAAAACACCTGCCAAAATATCATACTTCTCAGATGAAAACTTTTTGAGTTACATTGCATAATATTTTCTCAACTTCAGATTGTAAGGGTGAGTTTGATGAGCTATAACTCAAAAACGAGCTAAGCAAGCAACAAACGGTAAACAGCTTTGAACTAACGATGAATCAAAGATTAATACAGTATTTTTGAAATTGGAAAGAAAAGCTTTACATATTGAAAAAAAGGCGTAGTATATTTTTAAATTGTCTATAGGTAATGGCCCTTGGGACCAAAATTTTTGCCATTTTTATTTCTTCAAAATAAGCTTCAGGTCATTTAAAATCGACATGCAAAAAATTAGAAAGGTGTTCTTTCTATAAGTTCCTCATTTTAATGCATACAAAATGGGTTTCCGGGGGGTCGGTACGACCCCAGCTCGCCGTTTCGCCTCTAATGAAGCTAGAACCTTGCGGAAAAAAACGAGCATGTGCGCCGTTACAAGATGCATCGAATGATACCTTACTTTAAGGTCTCGGGTTGATTGGTGACCCCTGAGGTAATTTCAAGTGACCCAAATTACGGGTCCGGTTTTTGATAGATAACTTCGCAACAAATGGTCGTAGAGCCGCGATTTTAGCATCTTTGCGTTTGCCTAGCTCCGGCGCGTCGAATGGTATACTGTTTGTTCTGGTGAGGTCAGCTTAAGTCGCTGACCTCGGGTCAGCACACTGCCGTGTATTTGACTCCGCTCCCCGACCGGGCGGCCCAGCCGGCAGCCAGCCCCCGGGCATCACGTGACCGCCCGAGTCCGCGGCAAAGCCAACCAGCGCACACTGGTCGGAAACGCCCTCACGAGAGGCCACGGGCGATTCCGGAGTTTCGGATTATTTTTTATATAGATCGATTTGAAATTGATCAAATTATTATACTTAGGCCAAAAAACTAATCCGGGTGACCAAAAATAACTGTAATCAGCCCCCGAAGATGGGGCATCCCAGAACTCGGAAACTGACGCGGAGCAAGAGGTTTCTTGAGCCGGATATTCAGAGTCTTATTGCTGATAGACACCAAATTGAAATCCCACATATTATGCATCAAAATGTTCGGTATGAAGTTGCCGACTGGTCAGTGCAAATTTTTTGGTATACTTTTTCCCTAACTAAGATTTACTGTAGCTTTTTTATGAAGGCTCTCCTACAGTGATTCTGGAATATAACTGCAAAGTTTAGGTAAGGAAACAACAGGTAGTCCCATCTAGTTCCACTCTGATTTTTTGTGAGATGAAGCAAGATTTAAATTTATACCAGGGCAACATAAAAGCTAACTGCGCATATTTGCGCAAAATTTGCAGGGGCCGCTCTTCCTACCCAAGTACCGCCCGACCCGCCCCACTTTCGGCTCGGCCGCCGCGCCCGGCTTACGCTGACCTGTGTGGCCTGCACGCATCCATGCGTAGTTGACTGGTCATTAAAAACAGATGCGCTTGAGTTTATGAATTTTGTGAAAAGCGCGTTTTATGTATGCATTTATGTATGCATTGACATCAAAAGCCTTCCACATATTGCGTGGCGATTACAGCTTGCATTTAGAGAGCCTTGCTATTGACAGCCATCACTCGGCTGAAGAAAGTGGAAATTGAAACCTTCGTGAATATAAGAAGCTGCAAATATAGGACACCTGTCACTGACGTCGGGTTACCTTGGGCCGTCTTTTTACATTAGATCACAATTCCGGTATTTAACCCTGGCCGGACCGATTGGTTTTCTATATTGACCGGGGAGGGTTGGTACAACTCCCTCGCCGTTTCGCCTCTAATTGAGCTAGGGCCTCGCGGAAAAAAACGAGCTTGTGTGCCGTTATAAGACGCAACAATTAGGTACTACCCGATTTTAAGGTCTTAGGTCAGCCAGTGGCCTCTTAGGTCAGGTAAGTGCCACAAGGCACGGGCTCGGTTTTAGGTTAATTACTTTGCCAAAAATGGTCGCACTGCCGCGATTTTGGCATCATCGTGTTTGTCTAGCTCAGGTGCGTTGGATGCTATACTTGGTGTTCGGGTGAAGTCAACTTAACGTGTTAACCTCGGGTCAAGGTCAGGTCGGAGCCCGTCAGGTCACGAAAATGGTTGAAGGAGGTCATATCGCATATCATTCGATTCGGCAGGTCTTCCTGAGTCCAATGGTGGCTTTCCCGACTCTCTAGCTCCATCTGATCAGGAGTTATTGACGAAAAACTTATATGGCCTTAGTGACGTCATAAATGACGTCACGCAGTCAACAATGCTAAAGTGAAGCACTGGACCTTGCAAGGAGTGCATGAAACCATTCCCGGTGCCCCAATAGCAGCTCCCAATTTCCCTTGTTGACTTAAAGTGGTGCTAGATCCTGTATTGTACTCAATTATGACGTCATAACTTAACAGATTCACGTCATATATTTAGTGCTTGACATCCAAATGATAGCTTACATATGACAGAGAAGCTATGCAAAGTTTTATGAAGTTTGCTTCACTAGTTGTGGAATAACAAGCAAAAAACTTTTGCGGAAAGGCTGCTGGCCTCTCGCTGGAGCGTTTCCGACCAGTGTGCAGCGCGGCGCTGGACAAACAGCGCCGCTACAGAGATGGTTAACAGTCGGGTCAGGCCACGAAGCTGGGTGAATGAGATCATATTGCACATCATTCGATTCGCAAGGTCTTCCCGAGTCCATTGGTAGCTTTCCCGTCTCTCTAGCTCAATTTGATCGAATGTTATTGACGAAAAACTCTTATGACCCTAGTGACGTACGAATGACGTCACGCAAGGTCAACAATGCAAAAGTGAGGCAAAAATGACTTCAATTGAACTTTCAGTAACCAGTGATGTCACTAGGCAGCTTTACCACACCATTTGTAGGCTCTCTTCCGAAATCACAATTCGAGACCATTACGGTGACGCAAAATAAGTACATTTATAGAAAGAACACCTTCCTAAATTTTTGCATGCTGCTTAAAAATGATCCAAAAATGTAAGTAAATAAAAATTCTAAGTAAATAAAAATTCAAAAAATCTGGTCCCAAAGGCATAAAAATGCAAATGAAAGGAAACTCGAGGTGTTATATATCAAAAATAGTATATATTTCAAAATTTTAAAAATGCATATTATTCTTTGTTTCAATGCAAGTTCAATGCCGTATAGCATTTGGCATTTGGATTATCCGTCTTAGAGTTACAGACCGCCAAACTTGGGGCTGCAACGCAAGATCCAAAATATGTTATACACTATAACTCAAAAACCACTCATCTGATAAGCCTGAAATTGTAACAGGAGGATTCAGAGCCCCTAATTACCCCAGAGACCAATTATTGTTAAAATCCGAGAGATGAGGGTGTCAAATTGGAAAAAAAGTGGTACGATCTATCGTGGAATGCCCCTGTTGTTAGTCGGACAGTGTGATACGGATAGAATATATATATATATATATATATATATATATATATATATATATATATATATATATATATATATATATATATATATATATATATATATATATATATATATATATATAGTAGATCAGCAATTGGCCAAAGTTGCTTTATATATGTTACAGGGAGTTTGAGAAATCCGTGAGTTTGCAAACTCCCTGACCGATCAGTGAGTTTGCAAATTCACTAGGGAGTTTGCAAACTCACTGACCGGTCAGAGAGTTTGAGAAATTCCAGAGCGATTGGGACAAATAAAACAAGTGTGCAGAATGTGGGTGGCATACGTGCCGTCCGTGATGTTAAAACAAAGGCGGCTAGTTGTGCGGCCTATTTAACGGTCGCACGCTGCCAAAAGCTTACAGATCATATGCACACCATACTTTTGATTTTAAACTGTTCAGTGATCTAGCCCAAACATGTAGCGCCGCTTTATTTAGTCATACATTTATTTAGTTCACGGCCCAATTGTATCCGTTCCACACAAGTGTGCCTATTCCAGAGTCAGGCTCAATATATCAAAGTAGAAACAGCTCAGTTGGTCATTTGTGCTAAAACATATAAGGCATACGTGTGGAACGGATCTATAATTGGGACGTAAACTAAATAAGTGTATGACTAAATGAAGCGGCGGTACATGTTTGGGGTAGATCACTGAACAATTTAAAATCTTAAGTAGGCATTTATGGTGTGCATATGATCTGCAGGCTTTTTGTCAGCGTGTGACTGTTAAATAGGCCGTACAACTAGCCGCCTTTGTTTTAATTAACATCATGGACGGCACGTATGACACACACATGCTGCACACTTGTTTTTATTTGGCTCAATCGCTCTGGAATTTCTCAAACACCCTGACCGATCAGTGAGTTTGCAAACTCCCTAGTGAATTTGCAAACTCACTGATGGGTCAGGGGGTTTGCAAACTCCCTAGGGAGTTTGCAAACTCCCTGAGACCCATCAGTGAGTTTGCAACCTCACTAGGGAGTTTACAAAATCACTAGGGAGTTTGCAAACTCACTGACCGGTCAGGGAGTTTGAGAAATTCCACAGCGATTGGGCCAAATAAAATCAAGTGTGTAAGATGAGGGTGGCATACCTGCCGTCCGTGATGCTAAAACAAAGGCGGCTAGTGGTACGGCCTATATAACCGTCGCACGCTGACAAAAAGCTTACAGATCCACAGATCCTTAATTGTTTTACCGGGGAAAAAAATGCTTCTCGCAGCTATGTAAAGGGGAGGTTCGGAGCAACGTGCTCCTCCGTTCCGTCGTTTCCATCCTCAGGAATCAGGATACTGAAATCCTTCTCCTCCACGCCGAAGCCCCCACTCCGGGCTGGACAGACACTTTTATCTCATGCGGGCTGTCCAGCCGCTTCTCCCGAGGGAGCGCATCCCGTAGCCGGGTGCAGAGAGTGCTTGGGGGGCTGGTCGGCCTGTCCATTC